CCGGTGACAAGACAAAGTCGAGATGACCGAGCAGGAATCAGGCGTAAGCCGCCTTTCTCGAATGCAGCCAGAAACACCGCCTAATTTAGTCTTACTTGACAGTAGACTTTTGCGCTGGTAATACTGCATTATCTACCCTTACTCACCTCTAGTAGGTGCCCAGAATGATTCGAGGAGCCCGAGTCTCGTGTTTCTATTACTGTAACTGCTGTTTCTACTGCTGCTTCTAGCAATGTATCTCAGTGATTGTAGTGCTAGTACTATTACTGACGTAAATATTTGGTCAGAACTGACACTGGTTAAAGTCAGATCTGGGCCCGTGTTCCCTCGATCTCACCTAGGAGGGGAGGACCTGGATTTTTGCTATTCCGAGTAGAGTAGGTGTTTGAGGCTCGGAGCACATCAGTGCTTGACCTTGCTGTTTCCTACTAGGGCTAGGATAGAACTGTTAGAAGTGCTGTTCCTATGCTAGGAGTGCTAGTTCTAGTAGTCATACTTGCTAAGCCCAGTACGTGGCAAGCTACAGTGCGGCCTGTACGTGCACGTAGGAAATGATAACCTATTATGCAGTCGTAACCTAATGGGATTTTAGTAAACTGAAGGGTTAAAGAAACATGTATTTACTAATAGCTGAAGATCTACCATGTATTTAGGTCGTAGCAAATTGACAATATAGTGACGATGTAGTATCAGGTAGATGATAGTTCGACCGCCGATTTTGATTATGTCCACCATATGCCTTTCTTGTAGTCACTAGGTGAAGCTTTCGATAGACAACGCACAGCCCTAGGGTACCGTCTTTCTGCATAATTAGCTTAATGGTTATCATACCTTTATGTCGCAAGGTAGTGTCATCTACCGTCTTCAGGTCAACTATAGAATTGCTACTGTATCCAGCTGTAGTTTGGAGGTTACAGAACGCCTCCTGTCTAACTAGGGGCACAACATGTTCCGTAATTAGCTTAGCATAATAGCATGGCATTTCCTATACTGTAACAATATCTGAGTGTTAGGACATGCATCTTATATTTGCACTAAGCATAGCTGATGGGAATATGCGCTTACAAGCTTCCCTGTCCTCCACAGAAGTGATCGGAAGAACATGCTGGTTATGCTGGGTTGGTTTTTGCCGCTGTACGGATGATGCAGACCAGCAGATACAGGCAGGTTCTCACGAGAGAATGTAGCCGCTGAAAGTCACTTGATAAAGCTTTGTGTTGGTCGAGCGCCCAGTTTAGTTTGGGAGCAACCAATACCTCCCGGTTTTGCACGCTACTGTTCAGCCATTAATTTTGTTGATGCCCAGCTTATGTTCCAAACAGGTTGGTGCAGTGACTTGATCGCGAGTTAGGTTTTAAGTGCTAGTCGACTTCCCGCAGCATCAACTGCCCTCTCCATCTCTCTGCCGTCATCCATCTCTGTGGGGGCTAGCGCTGTTCTGTTTACCTTCCGGATTTTTTTCTCTACCCCACCCGTCTAGCTTCCAGTCGACATTATGGAGGGTCTAACCGAGGCCAAGGCCATGGAGTTGGCTGAGCGGCTGGGTTTCTCCAGTGATCAGAATAAGCGTGATGCTGCCGAATACTTCCGGAAGCTGTACGAGCTGTTTGTCACTAAGGATGCCACTCTCATTGAGATAAATCCCATGGCTGAGGACAACAATGGC